TTTTTTTTTTTTTTTTTTTCTGGTAATTAATGCTAAATTTATTTATCTGTTTATTTGAGAAAGTATGTTTTTAAGTTCTTTCAATATTAAGTGTAATAAGAAGCTTTAAGGAATTTGAAAAAGATCCTCTGTATAAAGAGCGGAGTTTCAAGATGTGCCTGCTTATAGTAGCGCAGCGTTTGACAAAGTATCCAGTTCTTTTGGATCAGGCAATTTTTATTTAAATTACTTCTTCAACATTCCCTGGATTGTGCCATTTCTGCTTAACTGTTTTCTGCTCTTCTGCTTCATTTATTTCAACATATACTGTTTTGGTAGGACCAGCTTGTCTGCTACTGGTTTGCCTTAATTTTCTGCTGAAATTTTGACTTTTTTCATTCAGATTCATAAATTAGAGAGTGCGGCAGGCAAAGGAGAGTGTTTACGCGCTTTACAAGCTGTAAAAAAGTTTGCGGAACATGTCAATAGCGAATTATATAAGATAGAAATGAATCGAAGATGGGAGCGGCTTAAATCGCAGATTAGTCGGTCTAGTGTCGGAAAGCATAACCAAAAATTTTCTTTTACAGTGAGTCCTTAACGTATTCTAGCGCGTTTTGGAACGACTTTGTTTGGAAATACAGCGCATTTTGTAAAGCCTAAAGATTCGTCGGTTTTTAGTTTGCTGACTTAATCCTTCCTGAGGGTCCTGACCAGCGGAAGGTTTTACGTGTCGGTGATGCTACTTGTTACAACAATCCCAGTAATCTAAAGTCAGATGATGGTTCAGGTATATCTTGAGCCACTTTAGAAGTTGACTGTGATTATTAAGATTCAGTGACGAAATATCTTTTTATTCAACTTGCCACAATTTGCATAAATACGGAAGAAGCTTTAGTTTGTTTGTTACCTAATGTTCAGCTTAATATCTTTATAGATGTGAAATTGGTACTGTTCGATGATATACTAGTCATCTTATCGAAAGCTCAAAGTAGAAGCGGCTATGTTTTCCATGATCGGGGTCCTTCTGGCGTAGGATTTTCTTCATTTCTTCTATTTTTGGTTTTTAAACAACTACTCTTTGACTTCTTTTGGAATATTTGCAATGTTTTTTTGTTTGGCGGATTAAAGTTTGTGTATTTTAATTTTTGGTTACAGCTGAAATACGTTTTTTGTTGGTTTGAATTCTAAGAATTTTTGAACATTTTAGTTCTCAGTAATTAAAGTTAAAACTATGTTGGTTCGCGATGTACCTCGCAAAGATCTTATGTTATTTATAATTGCTCGGAACCATCCGGCCTCAGATCTTATTCCTGTGCAGTTTCTTACTAAGAAAGATTTTATTGACTGGAAAAGGGCTTTGGAGGAGGCAATTCAAACTGCTCCACCATTCGGTAATTGCAGAGCTTTGTGCTTAGTTTATTTTCAAGTCTTGTTGTAGAGCTATTTATTAGTTCTCTGCTCTTACTGCTCTCTGTTTTTCATAAAGATGGATGGTTTAGACGAATACGGGAAACTTTATGTTAAATTTTTTTCTGTTTAATTGAAACAAAGATAGGTGTAATCGCTCATTACTTATGTTTTTTTTGCGTCTCACTTTTGGACCGTTTTGAGGAAAATTACTGTTTTATGATCGTTTATTTTATTTCGTGCTTTAACTCAGCAACTTGCAGTAAGGAGGAACGCAGGCGGTGAAGCGGAATCATTGTCGGAGCAGCAAGAAGAGAACGATGAAGTTGTATTCAGTGACCACATCAGTCGGTGGGAGTTGCGCTTAAATGAACTGTTCGGTATGTACTTCTAGTCTGAGTAATCTTGACATTTCTTTTTTTTATCATTGGTCACAAATTGCAGAGCAGAGGAAGAATGCTGAAGACGAACTTGCGATGTTTGTTGAACGACGTATTAGGTGGTTTGAAGAATTGAATGCTCATTTGGCTAGTATACCAGTTAAAAATAATTCCAGTGGTCAGAAACCTAACACTTCTGAAAAAGTGATCTTATCTAATAATTTTTATTTTTTATTTTGTGTTTCTTCTGTGATATGACGTTAAAGTTCGATATTCTGTAAACAGCATTAGTTTCAAAAAAATTTTGCTATTTCTTTCTCTATTCTGTCGAAAAGGAAATTCGTTCTCTTGGTACGTTTGTCGAAAATGCTTCGGTTTCAGATAAAAAATTCACTAAGAAGGCATTTTGACGAGCTTCGGATGGCAAGATTTTCCGCTCTTTCCAAAGGCGCGTCTCCTTATTAGTTCTTCAATCGCTTTTAACTTTTTTTTATCTTTAGCATGCAAACGTATGCACATCAGCTCAATTAAATATCTGAAATGTATATTTTGGCTGGTATTCTTTAGAAAGAATATCTGCGCTTTTTTCAGTAATGGAGCGTGCTCAAAGGGCAGAAGAAGAGCAAACATATTGCTATTTCGACAATAAATATGACGCAAACGTGTGGATGTTGGAGTCACCTGGAACTGCACTGCAAGATGAAAGCCGTGGGAATGCATTTAAACTTCGTAGAAGGAACCGTACATTCAATGGTACTACTGATATTCAAAAAGGTACTGTCTTTCATTGGTGGCTTACTCTGTGAAAGCGACTCAGGCATTCATTATGTACGTATGTTGTGTTGCTGTTTGATACAACTTTACAAACAGCAAAGCCCAGCTATTTGTAGCAGAGTTGAAGATTTTACTTACTTATTCGTCTTGAAGGAAGTCAGCGACTTTTTTAATCAACAGAAGTTTGTTCTCTTTGTTAGCTAGGTGCTATCTGATTTGAGAGCTTACGACTCACTTACCTAATGAACCGAATATTTTCAAGTACATCAACGATTATATTTTTCTGTTTTCAAGATATTATGAATCTTCAACTTTTATGCATTAATAGAAAAGAAATGTAGTATCTTTACATATGGAAAAGCTTCAGCTGATGTTGGGTCTTCGAATTAGTTGAAAAAGCAGATAAGGTTTTATATGAAGTTTTCTTTTGTTCATGGGGAAAAGTTGTTGGTCAAAAATGGCTGTGTACTGACTGTTTGTTTAGGAAAGAGTAAGTTAAGGCTACGTTAAAGTTGCTATAAAATTTGGTCTAATCTGTTTTGTATTACAAAAAATTCTCATTAAAATTGATGCTGCACTTGACAACTGTCGACGCTGACGTTGCTCAGATTCTTGAAGTTGTTGACTAAGACGTCTTTGTTAAAATAGCTTTACAATACAGTTTTGTTATTTTTACCATTTATCCTTTCCTAACGGGTAAATATAAACTTACTCCTCAAACATAAATGACCATAAGGTTATTTTTTAGGCAGCAACTTGACATTATTTAAGACCCTTTTGGAGCAAAAATTCCGCATTGGTTTTGTAACCACTGCAGTAGGTATATGCATTACTGACATCTAATAAGGCAGAAGTTGCAATTTTTGAAAAAATTGCAAATGGATTTAGTTCTGTGTTGCACGGAATGTATAGAAAGTTTATTTTGAGTTTGATAGTCACAAAAGATTGTGATTGATTAGAAATTTGGACTTTTCTCATCTTTGCAGTGTGTCAGTTTTCTTTAAGAAAAGCTGCAGCAGTGACTTCTTATGTTTTGCGCGTTGACAGCTTCGCTACCACTCAACTAAATATGTTGAAAAATCGAGGGCGTCGTTTTTCGAAGGTATATTATCTGACTTGCTGAATATACTTTGGTGGGAAAGTTAATATGCTCGCTCGCTTTACGTTTTTGTTTCTACGTTAATTTTTTCTTTCTGATTTTTTTCCATTACAATGTGACAATTTTTTTAAAGTTTTGGTGAGTAGACAGATTCTTCTACAGCTTTGTTCAAATTACAAATGTTTCCAAGTTTCAAACTTCTGAACATGAATGGCCTGAAAGATGGCGAAGTAATCACGAGTATGCTAGTGAATACATGGTAAGCAGCAGAAATTTCTTTTAGAAAGACATCAATATAGGTGGTTTAAGTAGAAGTTATTCAAGATCCAGAATTGGAGGTTTATTGTAGGTCATTTTTGTCGACTCTAATGAATTTTTCGTAGATTTAGTTTGTTAATTATTTGCACTGAATTTTTTTCTTTATGGTCTTTGTCAGCTTTTCATCTCATAATTTCAAGGTATTTCCTTCTGTACGGAACTCTTCACTCCTGTAAAATTCCACTGAGATTGAGATGTAGGCCCTGTTGTAATCAATTTAGGGTTTCGACATTTTTTCAATAAAACTATCGTCTTGTTACTCTGTGCGTTCATTATTCTGCGGCAAAGTCAAGTCTTTTGTCACATCCTGCGTGGAAAATTGTCTTTCATTAAGGCCACGAATGTTCTGGGATTTGGTGTCTCACTGCTGAGAACCAATTTTCAAACTTAAGAAAAGTGAAAAACACAGCCACACTAGTACTTATAATCAAACCGATGACGCCAAGCAATTTGTACCTGTTGTCAAGCACGTGTTAGTTTAGCCAGATATTACAGCAAGTCTTGTTTTGGGAACAGGAAAAGCACGTTAGCGATTTTGAGACTTAGATAATTTTATAGGAATTTTCAAGTATTAGTCGTGATGCTGAGGGAGAAATTGCCAGTTATGTTTTTTCTTTATGCATAGCTACGCAAAAACAACTTTTTCTTCTTTTCAGAAATTGTGGTATAGGACCTTTTTTTTTGCTTCGCACACTGCTAGTGTATCTTGACTGAATAACATCGATTTAAAACTTTTTAATACGGTTTTTATCATCATAGAGTTCTGTTTTAAAAAATTGTTAATCGGGTTTCTTGGCTCTTTGGAACGTTGAAAGAACTTTGGTGACGGTGTTTCTAGGGTCTGGAAGTTTGTACCTAAGTCATATTTCTATTTTTTCAGGTGTGTCAATTAGACGACACACGACTGAACCAGTGCTAGCTGAATCAAGGGAGGCAAAAAATTTGTCGGAAGCAGTTGAGGCAGATGAGGAGCTTCGTATCGTCTTTGTTAGTTTTCAAACATTATTGGTCGTATCAGTTAAAGTGGGTTTTTAGTACTAGTTTTTTAAGCTACAACTTTGTCCGTCTGTTCGTGAACAGTTGTCACATGTCATCAATGAATATTTGGCGGTTCGAGTGGAAAATAGCAAGCTGCGTGACGATATCGCTTTGTAAGTACTTGATCGTATTCTTTCCACTAACAATCTATGTGCACCTAATCTCAATGTGGGCCTAAATTTTTCGCGTTATTGTGCTGAACAGTAAATTCCGTCGCGTTTCTTACGAAATATTTAGCATTCAAATGGCTTCAGGTAGGTGCAGACTTGTATGAGTACAATAAGTTTGTCTGTGATGACAAAACTTAATTGGCAAGATAGCATTTTTTTTACTTACTTAGTTAGTCACTTGATACTGATTTTTAGTCTAATAGCATTTGGGGTTCAGAATGGACTGTTGTTCCTCCTTGAATGTAACAATCTTTCTTCTTTAGGCTGTCGTTACAAATCGGAGCTTTGAAAACTAGGCCTCTTGCTCAAGCATCTTATTCAGCTCTCGAAGCTCTGCGAAACAAGCAAAATAAGTTGCAGGAAGATAAACTTGCTTTCGATTCCTACCAAGAGTCGTTAAATGCTGATCTAAAAAGAAAGCAAGAAGAGATTTTGGAAAGAGAGGTTAGTGGGTGTTATGTGCTATACGTTATAGTTTTTATAAGATGCGTGTTTTCTTTTTTATTTTTCTTGTCATTCACTTCACTCACTGTAACAAATGTTTTGAGTTACAACCACAGTTCAAAATTGAAAGGCTAGTTGTGCACATCCTCAATAGAATCCCATATTATTTTTCTTGTTTTGCGCATTTGAAAGTTTGTTTCTAGAGGAACTTAAGGGACAGCGAGGAACAGTTAGAAGAAAAGTGGAAAACATTTCTTGAGGCATCTGGCACAAGTACAAATCTTGATGGTTTAATGAAGCACAGGCCTCTTGCACCAACTAGGCCAGTTATTTTATCGACTGCTTTTCGACCTTCCTGGTTGGTTACGTTCTGTAGTCGTTTTTTACTGCTTTTGGTCTTTAAATTTATTTGTTTTTGCAGATTTCCTTTTGACAATTTATTTAAGCGTTTCTAGCACTACACCAAAAAATGTTCCTCTTGGCAAGTCACCTAGCGGTTCATCCATGCCTTTACACCTTGCAGAAAAGACTACTTTTTCGCGTAGCAAAAAGTCATGACGATTAAATTTTTTGTTGTATCCTACGCCATTGGCATTGTGATTTTATCAAATTGGAAAACGGTTTGAAAATATATTTTAAAAAAAATATAAATGTATTTCTTGCCTTAAAATTATTATAATTTTGAAGTTATGGAATAATATATATATTTATACATATATGCTTTCTTGTAAACCATTCCTTGATGCCTCACTCGTGTTTATATGAAATACGGTTAAAAGTACGGCCACTAGGTATTGTATATTTTATTTAGGATGTGATTGCGAGTCTAACTCTGGCTGTATAGTTGGCGGCGTAGTTTTTCATAACTAAGTTATCCTGAAATTAATTATTCCTACAAAGTAGGGCAGGTTCAGCTTCTTCAGTCAAGAATGACTTTTTTGGTAATCGGCATTATTTTGGAATTACGCTGCTTTCAGACCTCTGTGTTTGGATGTCAATGATTTAGTAGTTGTGCAGCAAGTCCTTGTCTGGCTTTCTTAGGTAGACTGAACTGTGTTAAAAGCAGATGCTTCTTTTTGGTATTTTTAGTTGGAAGTAACGAAATTTTGAAATGGCT